AATATCACAAAGAAGCCTGCCGTTTCTGATGTGCACCTCGAGTTGGAGGTAGCAAAAGCCATTAATGAGGTAAATCAGATTTTTTGCTATGTGTTAAAACATGATTGATCTGTTTAAACATGATTGACCTATATATGCTGATCCCTTACTTATGATTAGAAAAGTGTTAACACTTTAAAAAAATTGCAGACGCTAAAATTTCTGGTGGTGCGAGGAATAGGGTAATTTAAATTTAAGTTAATTAGCCGGTAATGTAAAAAAAAACCCGTATGTTGATCCCATACGTAACTGCGAAGTTTAATTTTAATTGTGAATGTTACTGACGATATACTGTGTTGCAGACTGGTTCAACGTTTGGGCGTAAAATGATGACAGGTTACCTATCATCAAAAGGTTTACATGTTGCAGAAGTTCGTGTTGGTGCAATGCTGAAAGACATCCAGCAACCTTATCATCGTGCAAGGACTTTGGTAATCATAATCTGCAAGCTGTTTCACATAGCCATTAAGAGTATCAGTTTTTCTGTAGTTAAGGCTGTTTGGAAAAAAATAACTAATCTGTCCTATGTTTTTTAAGGGTGCTCGGAACCTAAACCCAACACCCTATTATGCAGAGTATGTAGGTCATAAACTTCATCTAGACCAAAATGAGAAACTTGTAATGTTTGGGGTGACGCACGTCATGGCAGTAGATGGTTTTTCAAAGAAGATCATGGCTCATTCAACAATGCCAATAAAAAATAACCTCAAAATTTATGAAGAGGTTTATAGGTAGGTTGAACAAATATATACATACACACACACACACACACTAATGCAGTGTTTTCAGTTTGTCTACAAGACTCTTTGATATAATGAGGTAAACACCAAATCTTTTCTGTGTAGATCTGCTGTCATTTCCCATGGATTGTGGGACCAGATCCGAGTGGACTATGGCAAGGAATTTTACCTTTCCTTGTTTATTCAGGAGATGCTTGCAGGTCATCGGCACAATTTGCAGAGACCACCTTATGTCCAGACACCATCTACCAGAGTAAGATTATAAATGAATTAATCTGTTTATTTAATCTAATTGTTGTTTTGTTACATTGTCATTTCTTTTTTCTTTTTTTTTTAATAAATGGAGAACCACATAGTAGAGCGGATGTGGGTTGAAGTCAACAATAGAGTGAACTTCCCTCTCAAGAGAGCTCTTGTGCAGATGGTTGACCAAGAGGAGCTGGATATGGAGGACAGTATGGTGAAGTACTGTGTTTCCAACATTACTTGTCAGATGGCAGATCTTGGCCTTCGAAGGGTGGTTGATGCATGGAATGCTCACAGGATCCCAGGTAGTCTATATTTACATTTCTTGTAATTTGTTTAACACTAGAAAGACTGACTGGGTCAATTGACCCA